GACCTCCTACTGACAAAAAACATTTGAAGGGGTCAGGATTCTGCCATAAAGCCACTCAAACAAAAAATACTCCTATGAGCAGATTTACGTCATACAAACTACTCTTCATGTGCATTTTTAGCTTGTTGCGTGTGCAAATAGAGTACCATAGGGCCCCAATATATCTAGGGCTGAAACAATTAATGGTGATTAATCGATTATTGAAATAATCATCAACTAATTTGGTAATTGATTAAATTTTAAATGGGGTGTAGAGTAGGGGTGGGTATTGCCAAAGAAGTCACGATTCAATTCGAATCACGATTCACAGGCCACGATGCGATTCTATCACGATGTATCACGATAGTTGAATTATTGCGATGCATTGCAATATTTTCTCCATGTTTTGTTTTTGAATGACTCAGCGCAGTAACGAGCGGACGGAAATGCTTGTGACACAAGGCAGTGTGCGTCAACACATCCGCGGCGACATCTACTGGACTGGAAGTTGTATTACACTTGTTTTCGGCTGATGTTCGCCAACCATTCATGCAATTGTATTCATTTTTTTTTATTATTTAATAATCGATACTTGGCGTCAAGAGTCGATGCAGTAGATCACGAAAATTAGAATCACGATGCATCATCATTACGATTATTTTGCACACCCCTAGTGTAGAGACTCTAAAACATGCCTTTAGCTGACAGAGCAAACCACCTTGACAACAATTACACCAACATTGTACAAACAAAATGTAAACATTTTGCATTTAAGAAAAAAAAAAAAAAAAAAAAAAATTAATCTGTCAATTTGCTCTATCCAGAACTCCTCAAATGGAAAAAGTTTTATTTTTACCTGATTTGATTTTGCAAAAGGTCTTTTTTAAGGAACCTTTTGTTATCAGATTAATCAATTAATTAAAAAAAGAGTCAAAGTATTATTAAATTGCAAAATAATTGTTAGTTGCTGTCTTAAATATGTCACACATGCTTGGGTTTGTTCCTTCGCTGCACTATGGGGTTGATGTCCACGAATGCGCAGCCTTCCCTTTACCCTTGTGTGGACCCGTTTCTGCTCGCTCCTGTCAACCTTTGTAACTTTAACGGCGTTACTCAGCCCACAAACCAACCTGCTTGTCATCGGTTGCTTTTCAGGAAATCCCTCATCTTGAGTTGGCACTCGTTGCCAAGGTGATCATCGTAAACTGCCTTCCCGTTTCTTGCTACCTTTGGAGCTAGCAGAAACGGCCTATTTCACCAGAACCTTTTTTGTAGATCCCCTGTAACCCTTTTTAACAGACAGCTTACAGCCAATCAGGATCTGGTATTCATCCAGACCATGGATGTCAAAGTGGTTCCAGAAAGGGCCATGTGGCTGCAGGTTTGCTTTCCAACCAAGCAATAGCACACCAGTCATTTTACAAAGTCATCATGTTAAGACTGGACTCATTTGGTGAGAAGACTGGAGTCTGGTGTGCTATGGCTTGGTTGGAAAGCAAACCTGCAGCCACATGGCCCTTTCTGGAACCAGTTTGACATCCCTGATCCAGACCACGTTATATTTAATGATGACTCATCTAACTAACTTCCAACTCTTGAATAGAAGGGGTTTGGCTGAAGTTGGTTTGCTAGTTGGAAGAAGAGTACAGCCTCAAGAGGCGGGATTTCCTGAAAAGTAGCCAATCACAACCAGCTTACTTTCTCAGGTTGGTTCTGTCCTCAAAGTGACAGAAGTTTACTTAAGAGCACAGAAACAGGTCCTCATGCAAGTAAGAGAGAATCTATAGCTGCATAAAAAGCAAACCACAAACTCATAAAAGGAGCAGACACATGGTGGCGATAAATTTGGAGCCTCATAGTATTAAATCTGCACTCAGAACATTCAGACTGTGCATAGAGAGTAGTTCACATACTTGTGTTTAAAAAACAAAACACTGCTGATATGAGTATTCACTACACAGACTTTTGGAAGATTTCTGACTAAATGTCATTCTAAATTTCTTTAGCTCAGTTCAGAGCTTTCCAATATTGCTGATGACATTGCAGAAAATTGCCTAAAAGATATCTAATAGGAATCTTTACTCAAAATTAAACATTAGAAAAGGATGGAGGGACATCGTCCATTTCACAAACTATATTGTTAAATGCATTAAATAGATTTTGCTTCCAACTTGCTTTTGTGGTTTCAGATTTAGTAGAAAGGTATAGTGGAATATTTTTTAAAAGACCCGCCTTCTCCACTCTACTCCACTCCAAAAGAAAAAAAAACAAGCGTGCACGAGCCCACTTCTCCTGGTGCACTTTTTTTTGTTTTTTTTTATTAATAAAAAAAAAATACTTTTATTTAAAGAGTTTTAATTAAACGGTTACAAAACAGACGGTATGGATCAGGGATTTATACACATATTGAAAGTATTTGTGGCTATGCTAACGTGTGGCATGTTATGCTATGTAAGCTCAATATACACAGAAAATTTGGACAAAACCAACTAAAAAAAAAAAAAGAACAAAATGATAAAACTAAAATGATAAAGGAAGATCTAAAAAATACCCCACTTATTAGATATCTCAAGATACAGGTGCTGGTCATAAAATTAGAATATCATGAAAAAGTAGATTGATTTCAGTAATTCCATTTAAAAAGTGAAACTTGTATATTATATTCATACATTACATACAAACTCATATATTTCAGATGTTTATTTTGTTTAATTTTGATGATTACAAATGACAACAAATGAAAATCTCAAATTCATCATATCAGAAAATTAGAATATTGTGAAAAGGTTCAAAATTGATGGCCCCTGGTGCCACACTCTAATCAGCTAATTAACTCAAACCACCTGCAAAAGCCTTTAAATGGTCTTTCAGTCTAGTTCTATAGGCTACACAATCATGGGGAAGACTGCTGACTTGACAGTTGTCCAAAAGACGACCATCGACACCTTGCACAAGGAGGGCAAGACACAAAAGGTCATCGCTAAAGAGGCTGGCTGTTCACAGAGCTCAGTGTCCAAGCACATTAATAGAGAGGCGAAGGGAAGGAAAAGATGTGGTCGAAAAAAGTGTACAAGCAAGAGAGATAACCGCACCCTGGAGAGGATTGTGAAACAAAACCCATTCAAAAATGTGGGGGAGATTCACAAAGAGTGGACTGCAGCTGGAGTGAGTGCTTCAAGAACCACCACACACAGATGTATGAAAGACATGGGTTTCTGCTGTCGCATTCCTTGTGTCAAGCCACTCTTGAACCACAGACAGCGTCAGAAGCGTCTTGCCTGGGCTAAAGAGAAACAGGACTGGACTGCTGGTGAGTGGTCCAAAGTCATGTTCTCTGATGAAAGTAAATTTTGCATTTCCTTTGGAAATCAAGGTCCCAGAGTCTGGAGGAAAAGAAGAGAGGCACTTCATCCACGTTGCTTGAAGTCCAGTGTAAAGTTTCCACAGTCAGTGATGGTTTGGGGTGCCATGTCATCTGCTGGTGTTGGTCCATTGTGTTTTCTGAGGTCCAGGGTCAACGCAGCCACATACCAGGAAGTTTTAGAGCACTTCATGCTTCCTGCAGCTGACCAACTTTTTGGAGATGCAGATTTCATTTTCCAACAGGACTTGGCACCTGCACACAGTGCCAAAGCTACCAGTACCTGGTTGAAGGACCATGGTATCCCTGTTCTTAATTGGCCAGCAAACTCTCCTGACCTTAACCCCATAGAAAATCTATGGGGTATTGTGAAGAAGAAGATGCAATACACCAGACCCAACAATTCAGAAGAGCTAAAAGCCACTATTAGAGCAACCTGGGCTATCATAACACCTGAGCAGTGCCACAGACTGATCGACTCCATGCCACGCCGCATTGCTGCAGTAATACAGGCCAAAGGAGGCCCAACTAAATACTGAGTGCTGTACATGCTCATACTTTTCATGTTCATACTTTTCAGTTGGCCAACATTTCTATAAATCCTTTGTTTTTATTGGTCTTCAGTAATATTCTAATTTTCTGATATGATGAATTTGAGATTTTCATTTGTTGTCATTTGTAATCATCAAAATTAAACAAAATAAACATCTGAAATATATGAGTTTGTATGTAATGTATGAATATAATATACAAGTTTCACTCTTTAAATGGAATTACTGAAATCAATCTACTTTTTCATGATATTCTAATTTTATGACCAGCACCTGTATATCTACAAACACTGAAATGCAAATCTAAATAGACAATATGCATATGGTGCATGCATTAATCTAAATAAACGCATACATAGTTTTATGTACATATACCCTTACACATTTATATCTTAGATACCAACAGGCTGCTGTACCCTTTCACAATATCAATTGCGTATGTTGTATACCTCCTCACTCATGTAAAGGGCAAACCCTCAGCATTAAAAGGTTTCTGTTGCATCGCTCCTACAAGCTTACTATCAAAAAGAAGCTATGCAATTTTTCCACTATGTCAGCCTCAATGAGGACGAACACGTAGGACGGCCTTACGTAAACATATCAGCAGAACGACTGACAATTAGGAGGACCACGTATTTGGATGATCCACCCTGAAAAAGAACATCCTCCACTACACCGTTAATATTCAGCTGTTTTATAAGAACGTCCTAAAAGCTCACATATAATTTAAGTTTGTATTAAACTCTTTCTAAAAACTTTATTTAATTTTTTTTTTTAAATGTCTTGATAATTATTCATCCCAAAAAATCAAAGTAAACTAAACTTGCAAAAACAACATTTTTGGAGTTAATTTGATTAAAGTGAATGAAATATGCATTTTTTTTTAACATGTTTCTATTGTAAAAATAAATTGTTTTTCTATATTGAGCTTTTTTAAAAGTATAAATTCAGAATGTTACCCATAAACCATTTCCTATGCTTATTTGTTTTTGTTATTATAATGGTTGTTTTGAGTATGTGCCTGTGAGCTAAACCCTAAACCCTCTGACTATAGATTCAAAAGGTTTTATTTGTTTTGGGGGGTTTTAATGGTTTATTTTGTTCTTTAGGACGCTACACATTCCCACATCAGGGTGGAGATGTGCCTCTGCCTTTGAATGGTACGTAACATCTTATGCTGGACTAAAACCAAGCCCGGGCTTGAAATTGTTCTACTCGGAAACAGAAATCTCAGCCTTCTTTTACTTCCTCAAATTAATATGAAAAGTTGAACAGGAAAATTAACCGACGTCTTTGTGGATGTGCCGTGTCTTATTTTGGGAAAAAAACTAAAAATTGTTGGCAATTTTGAACAAAAATAAAGTCAAGTTGCCTAGTGATAAATAAAATGTGACTGCCACTTTAAGAAGGGGTGGAAACTAACAAACTTTTTCAAAATAAGTTTATCAAATAGAAAATCAGATTGGACTTTGTTTTGAAAATATTTTTTTCTGTGATCATTAAATTTCAAGCCCTGGATTGATTCTTTGTTGTTTTATAAGGTTGTTTTTTTGGGGACTTTCATCTTAATTCGAGAGTTTTCTGTGTTTTACATGCAGCAAGAAGTTATGGCAGAAGACGAGGTAAAGCTAATGAGTCTTATTTCTCGCAATTATGCTGTTTTCCTCCTTTTGTCTAAAGCATTTAGTTTGCATTATTCCCTGTTAAAAATGTCACTGAGCTTTTTGTTTGCCTTGTACTGACTTCCTGCCCAGAATTCATACAGTTTAATAAAAGCTGAATCATTAATTTTTTGGCCCAATCAATCGTAGGAATAATTTAAATAGAAATCATGGGTTCAAACTGATCTAGTCTGCTCCTGTTTTTAGTCTTTGCTTTTTTGTTTTTCCCCCTTTCGTATTCTTAAAATGTTATGAATTCTGCTTAAGTTTAGATGTCCGGTCAGTATTTTGATACAAGTGTTTCTCTGTCAGGCCATTCGTCTCTGTTCCCCATGGAGGATGAGCGCTCCTTTGGAGAGGATGAGTCCAGTGACCAGGGCCTCGCCGGCCTCGGCTCTGCCCACTGTTTCCCACACCTGAATGGCGAACGCGTCGAGCGTTATTCCCGCAAGGTGTTTGTCGGAGGGTTACCCCCAGATATAGATGAAGGTGAGAATATATTGAAATTATAAAGTCTGTTTATTATTTTGAAAGGACTTCAATGATTACTGCAGCTTTTTGGGTTAAATTAATTTAAAACCAAACAAAGTGCCAAATGGTTTGATGGGCGTCGCTAACCTTGAGTTTAATTTTCTCAGATGAAATCACTGCCAGTTTCCGCCGATTCGGCCATCTCTTTGTAGATTGGCCCCACAAGGCAGAGAGCAAGTCTTACTTTCCACCAAAAGGTGAGTCCGATGTACACAGCATCCCTTTAATTGAATACAGACAACAGCATATGTTGTGCTTTTTTAAATAGATCTGGGTGTCTGGTTTTGTTTCTCAGGGTATGCATTCCTGCTGTTTCAAGATGAGAGCTCTGTCCAGGCACTGATTGATGCCTGCATTCAGGAGGATGGCAAACTCTACCTGTGTGTCTCCAGTCCCACCATTAAAGACAAACCTGTGAGTGTTTTACTGTCTTCTGCTCCAATTGGAGGGATAAACACACTTAAACAAGACTTAAAGCACATTATTTGGCTTCATTTAACCTTAAAGGAATCTCCTCCTATAATTGTGTCCATGTGCTGAAAAGTGCATGCGCCTCAATCCAAAAAAGTAAAAAAAAACAATCCTCTGGACTTTGTTTCCAAGTTTGAAGATGTTTGGCTTCCTGTGAGGGACCAAAATTAAATAAGGACTAGGGATGCACGATATAATCGGCCCCCTATCAGTATTGGCCTTAAAACTGAATATCGGACATCGGCCAACCCACCGATAATTAACCCGATATTTAATCAGCTTCTGAGTTTCTAAAGTCTAAAAAAATATATAAAATACTGCTTCTTCTTCTTCCTCAAAAACTTCTTTTTTACAGACTTAAAAGCTTCTAAAGACGAGGGAAAAAATATTAATACATTAAAATATCAATATCTTTATATGCTGATATATTGCCATTTAAAAACACCATATCAATCTCTTTTACTAATGAAATATTGCTATATGTCATCGTTATGCTACGAAATCCCCCGAAAATTCACAAAATTTTGCCATATTTTTATATGTTGATATATTGACGCGGTATCGATCTATTTTACTAACAAAATCTCACAAGAATTTGCAAAAGATCACGAGTTTGTTACAGAACGATGAAATTTCACGAGATTTCGAAAGTAAAATAGATCGATACCGCGTTTTTAAAAATCTATTTGATATCAGCATATGAAAATATATTTGAGTATATTATTTTTCAGTGTCAGAAATGGATAACAAAACTGCTATTTTCAATGACTACTTATTTTTTTCCAGCTTTAACATCAGTATAGATATCGGTTATTGGCTACATGAGTTTTAAAATATCGGCATATCGGATATCGGCCAAAATCCCAATATCGTGCATCCCTAATAAGGACAAAAGGTGTTCAAAAATTGAAAAAATGTGCTTTCATTTAATTGTGTCAAAAATGGTTAACAAAGGCTCAAAAGCAATACAAAATAACTTAATTACAAAATAACATGGATCTGGGCCCAACTTAACTGAGGTTAACTGAGGATCCAACTTAAACAAAAAAAACTGACCTGCAAACAAACAACTGAAGGCTGTTTAAAAAAGGATGGAGTAACCCAAGTCTACCACATGAGTGAGGCACGACACAAGAACCAATAAATACAAAATTAACCATTCTATGAAACAAATAAAGCAAAACTAACTTTTACTTAGCAGAAACAATAAGTGAGTATTTAAGTGACAAACTAATTGAAAACAACTTGCAACAAGTCTCCCCCGTCAGTCTTTCAAAAATGGTACGCTCCAGATTTCCTCCTCCAGCTGGTTAGCATCAGCAGCACCTCAAACAAAAGAACAAGTGTTAATAAACCATTTAGACAGACTTTAACTAAAGTGTGCACCCATTAGAAAATACCTGTCTAAAAGAAATAACCAACTTAAACTTAAATTATAATATAATATAAAGCAAGAAAAGAAAATACTAATGCATTGTGGTGGTGGGAGGTTCATCCACCACACTTCCCATCCACAAAGCTTTTTTCATTGAAATTAAATGTTTCAATTGAAGTGAAAAAGCTTCCTGGTAGAGTGGATTATTAACTTTTTTGGAATTACTATGACCTGGATGATTAAGAATCTTCACCAGCATGTTCCCGATGCTTGTCTGTGGTTCAGTGACCTTGTGACCTGAAGATCCAAGTGGGCTGACAGCAGCAGGTGTCAAAGTTCTCTTGATGGTCAATAACTAGAAACCCCTTAGGCCGGGAAAACACTGTATGAGTTTTTTCCCTTTTTCGGCAGATTCTCCACTCATGCGAGAATTTATTGGATTAGGCTGAGTTTCAGCCTCATGGTGCATGCTGGTACTAGGGTTGTCACGATACTAAACTTTTCAACTCGATACGATTCTAAGTAAAATATTCTATACTCGAAGTCATTTTCGATACCACAAGGATAAAAACGAAGACTCCAAAATTCAACAGAATGTTTTTCATTAATAAAAAAAATACAATAAATAGATACATAAATACAATAAAAAATATTTTGAGGTTGTATGCTGTGCACAATATTAAGCAAGCTTGATAAAAAACTCACAAAATTAAAATTAAGTGTTCCTTCCGAAAAGTGCACAGAATTATTCAATCACGCAGTGTTCGGAAAGTGCATTTTCCTCTAATCTGTGCATAAGATGAATGACTGTTAAGGTGCCTCTGGTGGTAGCACTGTATCGATACCTTTGAAAATGAGTATTGTATCCGGATACAACTTTTCAGTATCGATACTTTTTTGAGTATCGATACTTTTGACAACCCTAGCTGGTGCAGTGGATAACGAAGAGCGATTACCCTTTCACGACCATCTCCCGATCAGGAATCGTAAGGTCAGGAGAAAGTCAAGCTTGTTTGAATATGCTAGTGAAGATCTTCAGTCATCCAGGTCATAGTCATTCCGACAAAGGAAAAAAAAAACAATCCCTACGAACTTTGTTTCCAAGTTTGCAGGTGTTTTGCTTCCCATCCAGGAAGCTTTTTCAATTCAAAATGTCAGGAATAGAGTTGAGTTTGAGGCTTCATACAGTGACCCCCGCCATTCCACCTGAAAAATGTATCTGTGCAGTCAGTTCATTAAGATTACGATCCAGCCGGCAAATATTATTTCTCTGCCGTCTTTGCGACTTCCGCTGCTGTTCACAGCGGCTGTTAGGCCTTTTTCATGTAATAATCCAAACTGCAGGCACCAGAATAATCGAACATATTTTACCGACAGTTTTCTACATTTTAAGTTAATTTTGGCGTTAATGAACTGTTTCATAGGAGTGTATCTGCATAGCGCTCTGTATCAGCAGTGCAGTCTGTCTCCCTGCCAGCTCCCAGATTAGCTCCTCTTATTGGTTGATGTGGCGCATCAAGCAGCAAAAGTTACATTTTTCCAATTTCTGCTGCCTCTGAAGCGTATCGTGTGCACCAGATGTTCAGAAGCTCATACCGCGCTGCTTCAGCTGCTACCAACGCACTGCGGGACCTTTTGCTGCGTCAAGATGCCTTTCAACTATTGAGTTTGCATGTAAACTGGCTGCTTCTGCTAATTGTAGCGTAAATGTAGCATCAGGCTACATTCTCACTGCAAGCCTTCATGCTCGAGTTTTGGGTAAAATCTGATAGTTTATTTCCAGATATACTGCATTCATACATCTTAAGTGTCCTGCATGCGCAGTAGAGAACGCAATGATGTCACAAGTAGTGAGTGTTTACGATAGTCTGCATGGATGGTAGTGCTGGGGCGCGTTTTGCAGTCTTTCATTTATTTTCCAACTGGAGCCAGCACATTAAAAATGTAATCTTTTGTTGAAAATAATAGATTGTTCTCAGCATTATCGTCCACCATGGTTGTTGTTGTTCTTCCCATTTCTGCGTAGCGAGACCCAGAATAGTGACCTTTTTATCGAACATTATGAGGTTCAGGTCGGATAAATGTGGCCGGACCGTTCACACAGTCGCATTTGAAAATATCTCTTATCTTTTTTTTACATTGGGCCCTTGATTTTACGTTATTCCATCATGTTCTACTCACCCATATGAGTTTTGTGTCATTTGGAGCCGTTTTGAAGATATTCCGTTAAGTTATATCCAAGTAACGTCTTCCTATGGGCAACGACTTGAAGGCACAAACTAAACTGTTCATAATTTATTCTTTATGGTACGCCAGCATTCATAACATGTAGGCGAATCACTGTCCCCCAGACATCCGCGGTTATATTTTTTATATTTATATTTTTTTAAAACAAAGCGGCGTGTGTATGACGTCATCTGCGTGCCGGACTGGAGTTGTGACAGGCAACCCGGGCCGTAACGTAAAATTAAGGGCCCAATGTAGAAAAAAAACGGCATTTCCCTTTAAGGCTGCAGTGTGAACGTAGCCTTGGTGCCAGTGGTCCTTCATTTCTCTTTTTTTTTCTCCCACTTTTGTCTTTGTTGTTTTTTGACAAAAGAAGAAACGATGCCCTGATCTCATCCCTCTGAAAATCAGCAAAATACATAACCAAAACAAAATTAACACTTAAGCCTAAGATGACAACCGATTGTCATGATACAAAAGTCAGACAGATTCTGAGACTAATTTATGTTATCCATTTTTCCAATTTTTCTTTACATTGAGCTATTTTCAATCTTAAAATGAAGGTCATTCTTTGCATTGTGAATATTTCCATCCACTGAGTTTTGTTGGGCGCTCAGGTCGTTGCCATCTTCTCGTTGTTTCTTTCCTCCCTGCTCATTTCTCATTTTTAAGTGGTTTCCTGTAAGATTCTAATTTTCATTGATGCAGAATTTATGATCATAATCCTATAAATTAATAGAAATGTGCACTTCTGTGTCTCTCAGATTCACATTCATTACAGAGCCTCCCCTTTTTACTTGATTTGATCCTTTTTAAGCCTTTTTAATAACTTCTAATTGATTTAAGATCCAACTTATTTGATTAATGTGGTTTTATTTGTTAATGGTTTTGAATAGGTCCAGATTCGGCCCTGGAACCTTAACGACAGTGACTTTGTGATGGATGGCTCTCAACCGCTGGACCCAAGGAAGACCATCTTTGTAGGAGGAGTTCCTCGCCCCCTACGTGCAGGTAAATGATCATCCCCTCAAGCCCCCTGTCACACCTTGATGATTTAGACCAGCGTATGCACAACGTACGGAAAATCTGGCAAATACGCTGGCACACAAAATTTCTCTACGTATGCCATACGTTGGCCCAAGTTGCAGGTAAGTTATCTGGTCGTTGACATACGTTAAGGGCAGGGTTCCCGTTGGTCCTTAAAGTCTTAAAAGGCATTGAATTCTTCAAAATAAAACTAAGGCCTTAATTGGTATTAAAATGTCTTAAATCACTCTTTCGTAGGTCTAAATTTTTAAAACATCATAAATAGGATTTTTTTTTTTTTACGATTTATTTTTGTAATCTAAATAAAACGTTAAAAATTGACAATTATTATTATTATTTTTTAATAAAAATAACGGCTCGCCATTATTGATTCGTCCCGATAGTGGAACCAATAAAAGCGTTGTTGCTGCCGGGACATTTGAGAGATGCGGCATTAACTTTTTGTCTGGAAAATATGAGCAAATGTAAATTTAACCAAAATTGTCTCCAGCCAAGAGTTTTCTCCATGGCTAAAACCAGGGAACATACATGAGGCTCAGTGGATTTTGTGCAAGAAGGCATACAAGCTCAGAACGATGGGAATTAAGGCAGTGGAGTCACACATAGTGCTGGGCGATATGGCAAAAATAAAATATCACGATTTTTTGATTATATTATTTTGATCTCGATTTTATCATGATTTTTTAGATACGACCAATATAACTTCAATTATATGCAAAGAAGAGAAAAATTTAATAAATGAACAAGTTTATTAAAATTAAAGAATCAAAGCAGCGCTAACAAACTTATTTTTTTAATTTCTGTATTGTAAACACATCAAAGAGTATAAAAAAAATGCAATAACTCCTGAGTAAAACAATTACAAATTAGTTACATTTTTCAAGTAACTACAGTCAAAATAAACAGAAATTCTAACTGTATCTTAGTGCAGTTTTATTACTCTAAAATCTTGATTGGTCTCATAAAGTAAAAGAAAAAAGAAACTAACTTGAGTTTAAAAAACTATATATTATATTAAACAATAGATTTGTATAATTTCTAGTCTTTAGAAACAAAAACTATTATCGAACTGCAAATATAGTGCAAGTCAAGATGTAATCTGTGCAATCTACGATGATATGATCAGGAAAATAGGCTGTCTGCAGTGTTGCATTGCATAGCTCCCATAGGCGCTGACGTGCGGCTGGACCAGAGGTCGCTTGTGGTGGCAAAGAACTACACATATATAATATTTTGTGAAACTTTCTCTCTGCATTCAGCGTACATACGTGGAATAGCGGTGTTTGAAAAATATGTGCGGCTGGGCAACTCGTAGCGTGGATCCAAAACGTTTAACATTTTATTAAATCCCACTCCTTCTATGGTTCGTAGAGGACATAAATCTTTCACCAAGTGAAACGTCACCGCTTCTGTCACGTTGTTCCACCATTTACTGCCTTTATCGTTGGGAGTAAGTTTTGTAAAAGATTCTGTTAATGTTTGCTGCTTCGGGAGAAAGAACCGGTCGCTGCTGCTGAAGTCGCAGTCGGCCTCTTTAGCTTTTTTTTTTTGGGGGGGGTGTGCCTTAACTGATTTTTAAACTAATGGACAAACGTCAAACCCTCGGATTATATTCTAGCTGTAAAGTTTTTTTTTTTTTTTGGTTGCATGTAAATGTGGTCATTGGCAGAAATACAGCAGCACAGCAGTTCTGTGGATCCTGATAAAACAGTCTCTTAATAATGACAGATCGTAACACAGTCCTAAATCGTCATATCGCCCACCCCTAGTCGCACATGCGAAACACAAAGCGTCAAAATCGAGTTGCAGAGAAACAGCCGGTATTTCTCAGCCTTGTTCCACCGTTGTCTCTGCAACGCCTCCACTTATCACCAAATCAAACATACTAAGAAAACGACAAAGAAAAATAGTTTTTCTTGTAAATTAGATCTTAAATTTTTATTTCAAGTGGCATTAAAAAGTCTTAAAAAGTCTTGAATTTAACTGGCCTTAAGCTGTAACCCTAACCCTACACCTAACCCTGTAAGAGTAAGTTACTCATAAGTCGTGGCATCCAGCTTATCCAAAACCTATGAGTGACTTCTCCTCCAGACTTCATCCCCATCGTAGGTTGAGCGTGAAGGTGAGTATGATGGATCCTCCCCACGTTCATGCCCACGGCCACGGCCAACCAACTCCTAGCAGACATGACGATAAATCTGCTGCTACTGCAAATCATCTGTCTATCTTTTTTCTTTGTATTTATTTTTTTTGGGCCGGCCGTATCATGGCTGCTCCCCTCAGGAGCGCCCGAGCAGCTTTAACTGATGCTCTGTAATGCGTAATACCCTGCATAAGTTAGGCTTTCGTTGGACATAAGTTCTGGACTTGTTATGAATGCGCTGTGTATACGCACAAAATTGAAAAGATACATAGAAGGTTCAGCGTATGCCAGCGTTTTAGGAGATTCTGGGTCGTCGGGCGTATGCTGGATAAATCGGCACGGTGTGACGGGGCCCTCAGCTTCCTGCAGTAGGTCTAGGTCATGTTTTTAACCCGTCTCATCTGATTTTTTCTAGTTGAGCTTGCAATGATCATGGATCGTCTGTATGGGGGAGTTTGTTACGCCGGGATTGATACCGACCCTGAACTCAAGTATCCAAAAGGCGCAGGGAGAGTGGCCTTCTCTAATCAGCAAAGCTACATTGCAGCCATCAGTGCCCGATTTGTTCAACTGCAGCACGGGGAGATTGATAAACGGGTCAGTTGATTCATCACGTTTTCCTTCACGTTGCTGCTCGTTCCTCTATTTTAACGGTTTTTTTCCTCCCTGCTTCTCTTTCAGGTGGAAGTGAAGCCATATGTCCTGGATGACCAGCTGTGCGATGAGTGCCAGGGCACGCGCTGCGGGGGGAAGTTCGCCCCTTTCTTCTGCGCCAACGTGACCTGCCTGCAGTACTACTGCGAGTACTGCTGGGCGGCCATCCACTCCAGGGCCGGACGCGAGTTCCACAAGCCGCTGGTGAAGGAGGGAGGGGACCGGCCGCGGCACATCTCCTTCCGATGGAACTAAGGCTAGAGGGAGGGAGCGTTGCATGATCAGGGGAGGGAGCCAGAGAAATTAGGGAAGGGGTTTAGACTGTAGTATAAAAAAAATAATGCACTTTTATTTTAAGTTAAAAAAAAAATAATAATTTATTTTTATTTTTTGAAATTTGGCCATTTAAAAAAAAAAAGTGAATCGAAAAAGAGTCAAATCCCATTTATGTTTTGACATTAAGTGTGCATGAGCATATGGATGCATTAGATTTAAATTTAGATGTTTTGTTTTTTTTCTAACTGAGTGTATTTTCGGTTTCTTAGTTGGCAAAGCTGCTTACATTTGTTGTTGAAAGTAACATAAGATTTAACTGAGGTTGATCACGCCTGAATCAGTATACAAACTGTGGAAGTTAAGTTGATGAAAAGGTGCATTTTTCCTTACTTTGTGCTTGCAGGATTTAAGAACTGTTCCATTTACCAAAGCTTGAGTGCAAATGGTTGGAGCTCTGTTTCGAATGGATCGATTTATTTACCTTTTTTTTTTTTTCCAAGTAGATTAGCGAATAACCTCTGGTCACGGTAAAAAAACAAAAACAAAATCCTCCCAGAGTTTGGCACATGTTTAGATTGTTGGCTTAAACGTTTGGTTTAAAAGTGAACACTTGTAACCGGAAAGAGCAAACCAAAGAATGGCCTAAATCTGTCGTCCAAACAGTCGTTGATCTGGGGTTTCTACTTTAAGGTGGTCCTCCTGTTGTTTAACAGGGGAAAAGGCTGGAGTTTCAGTTTGTAGTTTTCAGCTGATAAAGATACGGCCCTCCGGGCTCAGGTATTGGCAGTAGTATTTGTTCACTTTATATCGTCAGGGATCTTAGCACTGGAAGCTAACATGCTAATGTAGTACTAACTAATGGGGATGCACAGTCCAGTCTCCCTGAGCTGTCCTCATGGTGTACCACTGCACGCTCTACCGTGACTGGAGCTCTCTATCACAAGTGTTGTGGTTGGATTATGGTAGTAGCTTGAATTTGCTGTCACAGAGATAAAGATATTATTTTATACATGGCCTGCTGATTTTTGTACAGTGTTTTATAGCTGATTATTTTGTCATGAACATATATACATTTATTATGCACTACTTTTTCTAAATATTTTTTTCAATTGTCATTTTAGGCACATTTTTCACAAATGGGAGAACTCCTTTTGCAATACCTCATTTTTTTCACTTTGTGGAAAAATAATTTTGTACCTTTGTTACTAAGAGATCTGCATTTATGGTAAATTTAATTTAAAGAAAGTGATTAATATAATTTTTCAATTAGCTTTTATATATTTAAGTGCTGGTAAATCTGAAAATTGTCTGTTGCATTGGTGTAATTCTGTAGATAAAAGGAAAAAAAAAAAGAAGCAAGCAGAAGAAAAAAAAGGCTTTTTATAAGCCCGTCATATACAGTTCTCTCTCCTAATAATACAATTACAGGATCTTAAGGTATGGCAAGACATTTCTAAACCGATTTTGATAAGTATCGAGTATAATCTAATATTTTTCTCCTTGGTGTAGTCAGTAGAAGTCTGATTAAAGTAAATGTTTTGGCTTTGAACAATGTAAAATCTTCCCTTTCTCCACCAGAGTGGATCCCATCTGTTTCCAATCTCTTCTTTCCGAAAACTGCCTGTTAGTTCTACGTCTTCTCGGCATGCATACGAGATAACACAGCTAGTGATGATGCAGGACCTAATGTAATGCACTAGATCTCCTCCTTTATTTTTAATTTTTTCCTTTTAAAGAAAGAAGTTATTTTCTTTCCTTATCTCATTGAGATTGCCTCTCTTGTAGCCTCTCTCTACACAATGGAGTCTGCCTTCCTTTACTGACATGTTTATGCAATATACACCCTGACAACACTTTGGATGTGTTTTTGTAATGTATTGGACACTCAGTAGGACATAGGCGAGGAGACGTGATCACTTGACCCCTACCCCCTCCTCCTCCTTTGTGATGTGGCATGCTTTGGGACATAACCTGAATGTTATTTAATGTTGCAAGTTAACTTTGAGCCATTACGTGCAATACTTCTTCTTTCCAGAAACAGTTCTCCGCAGTGTACGTCATTGTGTCATAAAAAAAAAAATAATCATGCAGTCTTTTACACTTTTTTTTCCATTTCCTATTGTTCATGCTGATGTCTGTGAAAAGAAACAAAAAATAATTTATACCTAAATTTATTTTGTAAACCTTAGTTTTGTGCTTCTTTACTTATTTTGCTACTACCATGCTACTGTGATTGAAAACATGATGTATATACAAGGTTGATGTATTTGGCATTTGCTATATTTTCAATTGAAATGTATAACATTTTGATCTAATCTTTTATCTTTTTATTTTGGGGTGAAGTGTTAAAATTGTCTAGTTTTTTGTTGTTGTTTTTTTTGAATCGCTGAAACATGCTTCACAGTTTCACATGGAGAAAAAAATTATGTCTTAGTATGGCTTGATTGCAAAATTTCAATAGTTTTTAATTGAATGCTGGGAAGGTTATATTTATTAACTTTTTTTTTTTTTTACCTGATATTTTGATTTTTTTACTAAGTCATTTCACCTTTATATGTAAGTTCCAATTTTTATATTTTCTTCCTGATTAATTTTTCGCTACAATACAGACGTCAGTTTTTATAGTTGGTTTGTAGTATTGAAGTAAAAGACCTAAAGTCATAAATTAATTTGCTGCCAACTGTTTGTAACTGTATGCATACATTTGAAGTATTTGTAATGTGAGATGTTGAATGAATAAAACAGCTGTGAGGAAGAAGATGATTGTAGTTTTATTAAGAGTTTAGGGGGATCTAATGAGGACGGCTGATGGAGAAGGTGAATATTTTCCTGGGATGCAGACCAGACCATCCAAGTGTTTCTTTGGACACCGGGATAAATTCCGTTTTATTTTTTTGGTGGAAAACTCACATTTTTCTAGATTTTTGAAATAAGGCAAACTCATTAAAAATATTATCTTTTTTTTCCCTCTGATCTATGAACATGACTTAAAATGACTGAAACTGAAAAATGGCTTTGGAAATAAATAGTGTGCGCTGAGTTTGTAGCTTTCTTTTCAGTCTTGTACTCCTAAATTGGATTAAATTCAAAAATACTTCAAATCTCAAAGGGAAATTAAGCCTTGCAGTTACTCACAGGCATTTTTTTTTTTTTATGATTTGTTGACGATAGCTGTAAGCGGGATCTTCTGTAGCAGCCTGTGTTGCACCTGATCTGGAGAAGCCTCTGACTGAAGATGCTGTTGGTGTTTAACAGCCTGATGAAGAGGAAGCTCACTGTTGTCCATAATGTCCTTCATTTTTTTCCTCAAAATTCTGATTTTAATCTCAAAATTCTGATTTTTTTTCCCTCAGACTTCTGACTTTAATCTCAAACCTCTGACTTTTTTTCTCAGAATTCTGAGTTTAATCTCAGAGTTCTGTTTTTTTTTTCCATATTAAACTGAAATAATCCTTAAATATCAGTATTTTTTTATTTTATTTTTTTTCCAGTGGCCTTAATCCTCTTCCTAACTTAGACACATGTGGAAGTTATATAATAGTGTTTCCAGCATAGAGAGTAATTGTGAGATCACTGAACATAAATGTTGGCAAAGACAGATCGTTTCTAACTCATTACTGGGCCAACAGTGCCACCTGGTGGTTGGCAGCGGTTACTCCCTCCAACCGTTTCTAGTCGAAGCCAGAAGATGCCGCCGCCGCCGCCTGTTAGGAACCTGTTTATTCCCCGCTTCGGGTCTCGCCTGAGCCCCAGCCAGAGAACCGAACCCGGACCGGAGCAGCTGATGGGCTCCGTTCATTCCGGGGGTGAAAAACGCGGAAAGAAGCGAAATAAAAGCAGAGCCTCAAAAGTAGAGAGACCGCTTCTAAAAGTTCAATTCTCAAAACTCAAAATCCCCGCTTTGACTGCAGAGGCTTCCTGGGATCAAACACCGACAGAAATTATGTTAAAACCTTCTAGAAGTAAAAACAAGTCCCCCAACAACCAAGGTAGTCAAACTGACTGTTATATCGCTTTAAAAAAAAATTAATTAGCAAACTGCGCATTAGCTAGGTAACTACAGTTAGCGTTAGCTCAAATAACCTATAAAAACTAATTCAACCTATTAAAAACACTGCTTTTGATTCAAAAATCATTAACATTTTTGGTTATGTGTTGCTAAGTTCTGGCAAGCATTTGTTTTTATATACTTTTAACAGTCACAAGTGTTAATTAGGGCTTCAGATATATTGTTTCTAATGTGTTTAATTTTAGTTAGTCATTTATTTTCTTTATTAATCTTTTCTTTATCATTCTTTCCGTTTTTTAAAGTTTCCATCTTCATGTTTTTTTTTTTTAACAGTGTCCTGTCTGGCAATGTGTCAATAAAAATAATTGTCTATATGCAAAAAAGGGCCCAACAGATTTTACTTTCCACTTTCAAGTGGAGCAGTACAGCTATCGCCATAGTTTAAATTCTGTTCAGTTTATTTCTATAGTGCCAATTTACCGCACATATCATCTCAAGCCACTTTACAGTTCAACCAGATCATCCAGTCAGATTGATTCAAAGTTTTCCATCTAAGGAAAACCAGTTGATTGCATCAACTCATTGACTCCAATGCAACCCTTCACATTATGCATGCTTGTGGTGACAGTGGAGAGGAAAAACTCCCTTTTAACAGAAAGAAAATTAGGGATGCACGATATTGGGATTTTATCCGATATGTCGATATTTTAAAACTCATGTAGCCGATAACCGATATCGATACCGATGTTAAAGCTGGACAAAAATAAGTAGTCATTGAAAATAGCAGTTTTGTTATCCATTTCTGACACTTTGAAAAATAATATACTCAAATATATTTTCATATGCTGATATCAAATTGATTTTTAAAAACGCGGTATCGATCTATTTTACTTTCAAAATCTCATGAAATTTCATCGTTCTTTTACAAACTCTGGTGATATTTTGCAAATTCTTGTGAGATTCTTTGTTAGTAAAAAAGATCGATACTGCGTCAATATATCAACATATAAAAATATGGCAAAATTTTGTGAATTTTCGGGGGATTTCGTAGCATAACAATGACATATAGCAATATTTCATTAGTAAAAGAGATTGATATGGTGTTTTTAAATGGCAATATATCAGCATATGAAGATATTGGGATATTTTAATGTATCAATATTTTTTCCCTCCTCTTTAGAAGTTTTTAAGTCTGTAAAAAAGAAGTTTTTGAGGAAGAAGAAGAAGTGGTATTTTATTTTTTTTTTAGACTTTAGAAACTCAGAAGCTGATCAAATACCGGGTTAAATATCGGTGGGGTGGCCGATGTCCGATATTCAGTTTTAAGGCCGATACCGATAGGGGGCCGATTATATCGTGCATCCCTAAAAAAAAACCTCCAGCAGAACCAGGCTCAGTGTGAGCGGCCATCTGCTGAGGCCGACTGGGGTTCATGGAGACAGAAGCAGACATAGAAAAAGCAGCTGTAAAAGGCGGCACCATCCAGGAAACGCACAGCCAGGCAGACACAGTCAGAGAAACAGGACTACACTGAAAAACAGGCCAATCTCCAACATCTATAGTCAAAGGTGTTGATGGCAGCAGCACAGCTGATATTTCTCTTCAGGATGGAGTCACAGCCTGCCATAGTGTTCTGCTTGATTTATGCATATAAATTGCTTTTTTATCATTCATGCAGGGAGTCTTATAGATTATATGGACACTGCAATGTAATTAGAACAGGAAAGGAAAACCAGGAAGAAAACGAAAATAGATGAAAGAAAGATTAGATGAAAGGGAGACAATGATAAAATATCTCCTTATGTAGAGAATACAAAAATCAATTAATAGAAACTATTGTACATTGATTTATTGACTATTGATCTCACAGAGGAGAAATTTACTAATGATTATAAAATATACATCAAAAAGTCAAAATATATATATATATATAAAATAACTTGAAATTTGGACAGAAAATCCTTCTAATTTGTATTGATTTTTCACTGTAACATTTCTGTCATCAGGTACCAGCTCTGCCTCTGCTGCTGTTGATGGAGATGTCTTCCTTTTCACACAGGAACCCAGCGCCCAGCCTGCAAAGGAAAAAGAAAAGGTACATCATCGTCACTGCAGCAACATCCAGCTAAATGACTCACAAAATAGACATGTAAATGCAGGGCTGCTGGAAGTCATTATGAACAGGGGGTACTGTGAAATCTTTTATTTTTTTGGGATAAAGGATCGACAGGTCGATTAAAATACAATAAATAAACATAAATAAATAGATTTAGATTCTCTACTTTATTGTCATATACACCTCAGTGCACGCAAACAGAGACTGTAACACACAGACATCATTAATCACATTAATCATGAATCTGTTCTCAGGTGAATATAAGCTCTATTAATTGAACTTCACAATAAAACATCTCATTGGCTTTACACCATTTTGAAAAGCTGACATTCACTAAAGGGTTGTCTTTATTAAATGTGTTTCTTGATATAACCAAAAAGACCAAAAAACACAAAATATGATCAGTCTCTTCCGCATAATGCAGCCACTGCCATCTAACTTTAACCGGGTGGTTTATTGGGTGTAAATTTCCACCCGTTTCGGGCCCTTGAACGCATCAATGCCCTGTTTCTCTACCTTCACTTCTGCTTTACAGCAGTGACGGGTTCATTAGCATGTATAGGCACCAGGTGTGCCGAGCAAGCTATGAGAGTCGGCTCCGTTTGGTGTGCAGTAGATTCTGTCGAATGAGCGTTGGGAGCCGTGCTGCTACACTAGGATTTGGATCTGGATATTTGGGCTGCTGGAAGAGTTGTGGGTTTTCACTAGCCTCGTGAGACCATCCTGATCTTGCGAGCTTTCAAGATTTCACTCGCAGATCAGTCTGGAGACTCTCGGTTAAAGAAAATTTGGAGCCGTTCACCAAACGAACGTCCAATCAGCGTTGGCTTTGAGACGGGTTGAGGTGTGACGCAACGAGAAGCGCGACAGTTCAGTCTAAAGAACATGGCGGCTTCAGCCGATGAAACTAGCGTTAGCGTGGCTATCGAGCAAGTTTTTTCGGAATTACAGAGTATTTCTTCACTGAAAGAAGAGCAAAACACTGCTCTGGAGGCTTTTCTCAGAGGAAAAGATGTTTTTGCTCTTCTCCCGACTGGTTTCGGCAAGAGTTTGATCTATCAATTGGCTCCTCTTCGTCTTCGCTCTGTTACGTCATATGCTTCGTTGATCTGATTGGTTTATTTGGCCCGTCTATCACCAGCACAACCAGTATTTTCACCCTTCCCAAAATTACTTCAACGGAAGGTTTCCAGATGGATATGCGGAGCAAATCCATCTGGCGGAGTCAGGTTAACGTCCTCGGTCACAATCCAGGTAATTCCCCGTGTTACATAACAAACCAAGCCGGTGCCACAGAACGTGAGAACGTTTAATTACCACAACGCCATGCAGGATATCAGAAACTGGATGTCGACTCTAATCCAATCACGCTAGGTTGGGTTGTGGATGCTGGAAAGTGAGCATGCCGTTGCAACTGCCATCAGAGGCGCGCGGCGCGGACATTCTCCTGACTCACTCTTGTTGTGGTTGAGGTACTAGTGTTCTTCTTCACTGGTGGTGGTTTTCCCAAAAAAATCCAAAATGCATTTCTGTCATTAGACTATGTAAATTTATGAGTCTGCTGCTGCCTCAGCAACCACCAGCTTGCTTGACGTTGCCGTCGATTAGGCCTTTATAGAGTAGCCCGAGAAAGCA